AGGATCTTTCTTAGAATTACATTAATCCTAGTTTGCAGAGGTGGTGAGGTGAGAGCACTTGCTGTCCTTGCAGAGGACTACTGTTTAAATCCCGGGTTGGATCACTCACAACAGCCTAACCCAAGGTGATCTGATACCCTCTCCTGGCCTTCATAGTTACCCTGACCTCTTGTGCATATACCCACCCCCCCACACACAATTAAAAATAATAAAATAAATATTTAAACAAAGAATTACTTTTAGCCTTCAGATCATGAATGTAGTATGTCTTTGATTTCTCCTAACATTTTTTACCTTCATCACACAAATCTTTCATGCCTTCTTGACTTATATCTAATAATTTCATTTTTGGAATATATAAGTGGAAATTTTTTTTAATTTCAGTTTTCAGCTGTCCATAAGTAGTCTACAGAAACAGTATTGATTCGTGTCTGCTTACCTTGTTCTGTGAGATATTTCCTCATAGGTCCTATGAATGCATTTGTGTAAGCTGTCAGCTCCTCTGTCTAAGCCTCTAACAGATGAGATGGGTTCACTGCCTCTGCAGTCTGCCTGTATCTTCTGTATATGATTCTTTGTCTTGAGATGATGAACCGGCTGCTCCTTCCAGCACGGGGTTGAATGAGGGTGAGAGTAGACACCATTGCTTTGTTCCTGGTCTTCAGAAAAAAACATTCAGCCTATATGTGTGATGTGTGATGTTAACTGTGCAGTTATTATAGGACACTATGTTATTAGTGTTCTGTTTCTTCATAAGATTCTGGGAGCTTTGTTTTGGGTTTTGTGTGTTGAGTGTTTTTATTATGAATGGTTGTTGAATTCTGTCAAAGAACTTTTCTGCCTGGGTTGATGTCCTGTCTGGGTTTTGCCTATGATGGAGTCTACAGTCATTGAATTTGGAAAATTGAACCAGCCTTCCATGCTCAAGATAAACCCCATCTGGCTTTGCTATATACCATTTTTTCTATATGTTATTGGATTTGACTTGTATTCTAGTCTCATCTGTGTTGCTGTGACAAATCACTCTAACCAAAAGCAACTTAGGGGAGGAATAAGTTTATTTTCCCTGCACTTCCAGGTCATAGTCCATCACTGAGGGAAGTCAGGACAGAAACTTAAGCAGAAAGTTGAAGCTGATAGCATGGAGGAATGCTGCTTGTGGGCCCTAGGGAACAGTTCCACCTACAGTGGCCTGCATCAATGATCAATCAAGACAATCTCCAATAATCACACCCATAGGCCTTCTGATATGAGATTCCTTCAGGTGACTCTAGCTATGGGCATTTGCTATTATTTTGTTGAGGATTTTTGTATCTTTGTATATGAGGTATATTGTCCATAGTTTTGTTTTCTTGTACCCAATTTTTTTCTCATAAAACAAAGGCAAGTGTTTTTTACTTTCTATTTTTTCAAAAGCAGTGTGATTACTTGGCACTGTTTATACTTTAAGAGTTTTGTAGAATTTACTATATTTTTAAATGAGGGGGTATCTAAGGTTTATGTACCATAAAACTTGGGCTTTGGGAAGGACCAGTTTCCAAAGTGAAGCTTTCAAGCTGAAGATGTGTGAAGCAGGAGCCAGGAACTGTGGGTCCAGACAGGCAAGCCTCTTCAGCCTCCTGCCTCTTGCAGAACTCTAGCTAGCTCACGGTCTGTTTAAGACTTCTGATGAACTGTGACTTTGTGTGTGACCAGGGAAGTCACTCAGCCCCTCTGGGCTGCAAATCAGCCAACAGAGAAAAGAAAATGACAATTATTCTCCCTGAATGCTGATATCAAAGCAAAGGAACCTCTCCTGGAGGCAGGGAGAGGGAGTTTGGGTCAGGACTTGCATGGTACAGAAAGGAGCTGAGCAGAGCTGGGGCTAAAGTCAGAGTGGGGGCAAACACCCTAGCAAGCAGCCACCTACCCAGTGGGTTCTTCCCCACGTTTTCACAAGGACTCATATTCCAGGCCCTCTAGGCGGGGCAAGATGGCATGCATTCATGACTTCAACTCATCCTGGGGCCCTACTCTGTATTAAGTATCTTATAGATGAGGAAACCAGGCCTCAGAGGATGAGGACTGTACTTCCCCACTGTAATGATCACAACAGGATGGACCATGTTCAAGAGGAAGAGACACATGGTCTATCAGAGAGCTGTGCAGGTCTGGACTCCAGAGCCCTGGGCCCAAAGCCAGACTGCCCAGGTGTGAGCGTCTATTCAGCTGTTGACTCATCTGGGTAAACTGAGGCCCAAGTTTTTGCCCCGGAGCTTCAGTTGGCCATCTGTGAAGTGAGGTGATGCTGCAGATACCTTGTAAATGGTTGTGAGGATTAGGCGAGTTAATGCTCTCAGCTCATTAACTCAATGCAATTGCTCAGAACCACGCCTGGCACTCAAATGCAGATCACTACGTGTAAAGTACGTGCCACACTTTATACACTGTGAAACCACACACTTGAAAAAGGATGATAGAAAGTACTGGCAGGGGTCCAGAATGCCCTTTTCTGGTGGTTAAACCTGGGGTTGGGGGGCGTGGATGAGGGTAGGGGTTAGGGTGAGGGTACAGCCTGGGAAAGGGATCTGCTTAGGGGTCACACAGCCCTGCAGTGTGCCGCCGCTGGCAGCGACCTCCTGGCTCTTATACTGATCACTGCAAGATCCGTGCTCCTGAAGGAGAGACAGTGTGACAGGATGTAATACGAGATGATGAGGTAGTAAATCAAGGAGCAGCTGGGTGGGTGTCTTCTCTCCTAGACTACCTTCCCGGTCAAGGCAGCTTTCTAGAACCTTCAGGGTAAGGGGAGACCTTGGCACTCACCATACCTTCAGTTGGGACCCTGGTACATATTGACCAACATGCACCGCGGCTCGCAGGTGGCCCCTGCACCAGGCACTGTCGCATAGGAGGGCGCAGGCCCTAAGGTATGAGATCACCGGTGTGGCGCCTCCTTTTTGCGAAACTTAGGATCCGGCGCCACCGTGTGGCCACGGGAGGAAGCCGCCTACACAGAAAATCAATAAGCTGCAGGGCGACCTCACAGGGCTGGAACATGCTCAAGGGCTCAGGAAAGAGGTGTGGTGTCTCTCGTCACCCCTCAGCTCATTCCCTGAAGTTTCTGGGACTGACAGGGAGGCAAGGTGTAGTAAAGCTCAGGGAAGGTTGCAGCATTCCACTTGTCCTGGGGATGTCTGGATCCACATCTCCAATCCTTGAACACCAGAGGAAGCATTTGGGACCGTACTGAGGGGCACACTTTCCATGGCAAAAAGTCAGAAAGTTTGGATGTAGATTCCAGGATGCCTGCCATGTTCCCAGTATGATGGAGGTACAGGAATCAGTTTTAGACTCTGGCCTTAGGGTCCTGGTCTATAAAGTGGGCTAGGCTAGGTCTGTATCCAGATCTAGTTTATTACAATACAGCAAACATCTCTCTGTTGCCAGCCAATAACCACAACTATAAGACGGAAGAGAGAGTAGCCAGCTGAGCATGGTGGCGCACAGTACTCAGGAGATGGAGGGAGGAGGGTCAGAAGTTCAAGGTTATTCCTGGCTATATAGCTAGTTCAAGGCCAACCTAAGCTACATGAGACCCTGTTCCAAAAGGGGGGCGGAGAGAATATTTGCCCTGTGGTCTGAATATCTGGAAGTCCCAAGTTTCCACTCTGATTTCCTCTTTGCTCTCACCCCAGGGCAGAGGCCTTGGTGACCAGGTGTGGCATCCAAGCCCAGGTGCCCCCACCCAGGGAACAGGTTCTGGATTTGCCCCCCCCCCCAGGAGAGGGGACGACTTTCTTCTTGAACCTTGAAACTCTCATACAGAAGAGGAATGAAGCAAGTATGGGCATCACCCTGCCACTGCGATGGCTAGACTTAGTTCTGCTACTCGTCACTACAGCAGACAGGTCATTTCTGAGAGAGGCTGACTGTGGTTTGAGTATGTACTGAGAGCACTGGGTGGCAGCCTGTGTGCATGTGGGTAGAGCTAAGTTTGGGCCAGGGAATACTTGTGATTAACGTAATATACAGCACCACAGCTCTGCCAGACATGCAGCTGTTCTTTCCATCCCCTTCTACTCAGGAGGACACCGGGTCCTCTCTTGCACACTATGACTGTCACCACCCCCGTCCCACCTAATGGCATCTTCCAAAACTTTGACCCTTCTTCATCCTTCACTTCCACTTTTATTCAATTTCTCTCCCTCCATTCTCTCTCTCTTTTCTCCCTCTTATTCTGCCCTCCCCATCTCCTGTGCTTTCTTGGTTTTTTTCTCTCTCCCTCCTTTCCTTATTGGATCCATAGGCCCTGTATTCCCGTGTCCTTCTGAAGCTCTTCCCTGGTTCCTTGATGACAGAAATCTACACGAGTACCTAGAGCAGCAACACACAGGAAGAGCGAGCCCACGATAGAACCAGAATGTGGAGCTCAGCATCACCCAGCCCCAATTTCCCCACTTTTGAGATGGCGATAAGAAGGTCTGCTTACGAGGTGGGCGGAGACACCTGGCTGAGGCCTGGCACACCCTAACTTTCCCCAAGTCCCCTCCCTGATGGAGTCCTCTGCAGTGTGGCCTTCATTCTCCCAAGCCATTGTGTGTATGGTTCCATTGTTGACCTGGCATACAAAACTGTGTCTCTGCTCACTGCAGAGATGAAGAAACTAGTGTTTATCCCTACTTCCCTAGTGGGGTATCCATTCAGGACAGTCACCTGAGTCTCCACGAAGTCTCTCAAGGATCTGTGAAGATCCCTCAGCTCTATTTTTTTGGCCTCCCAGCGGGGGCTCACTGAGGCTGCATGACTATTGGAGTTCACAGCCTTGGCCCAGTGGGGCATGTCTTGCAGGCCACTGAGCTTTCATCCTTCTGGGCTTGGCACAGAACTGCTGTTCTGGAGTGTGCCCGCCATTTTGCAACTAGAGGCAGCAACGCTTTAGAGTTTTAAACTGTGTTTCAAACATGTGCTTTATGGTTTGGCCTGTATGCATGGGTTCCCATCTGTGCAGTCTTCGGGTGATGCCCCTACACTACCGTGAGGTCAGCCTTTCTCTCACCAACCACCTGCCTTTCACACCTTTGTCTCCAGCATACTTAGGGTCCACCTAAGATGTCATGAGATCGTGGCCCTGTCTGGAGTCCTCAGTCCCAGAGTATTCCCAGCATGCACTTGCTTCTTCCACAGGTGCCACACTGGGTAATGAGACATACCAGGGTGCCTCAGCAGCAGGTCCTTACTCACACGGGGCTGCTGTGCTCCAGGGGGGAGCAAGAAAGACAGATAAGAAAGAGACCTCTGAGAGAGCAGGAGAGCTGGTGCGAGAGCCCTAAGTCCCCAGGAGGGCTGGGGGTTATTCTGAGCACCGGGGAACCAGACGGCAGAGTGGTCTCCATGCCTGCACTTTAGAGCCTTCTGAGAGCACTCTGGCTGCCATGTGAAGAGGGGTTCTCACGGAGCAGGAGTGGGCAACGTGCGCCGGTGAGGAGGTGCCAGTGAGGAGGTGCCGGTGTCAATGCACGGGAAGGACAGAGAGGGCTATCCATCAGGCTGGAGTGGGCAGTGTCTGAGGGCCACTGAGCCTGAGGAGGGTGGTCAATCCTGTGTTCCATCTATATGGTTCCAGCTCAGGAATATGTGTCACTGCGTGTATAGTTCCATTCTTGATCCTGACCTACAGAGCTCTGCTTCTGACCCTTGCGTTTGGACAGGACCCCACCCAGACAGGTCTACCCATATTCTGGGCTCTTCCTACATCCTGGGCCCCGCCCATAGCACTACTATGGCTTCCCTCCCAGGCTGAGGCTTGGGCTTAGTAAATCCCCCAAATCCTGTTCTGGTGACAGTGAAGCTGACACAGGAAGAGTGCCCTCCACACATGTACTCACTACCCACCATGGGAAGCATCCTCACTGAAAAGAAGAGCCTGGCACAGTGACCTGGAGTCACTGTTTCAACATGGCACAGTTCTCAGTGCTGACCTGCAAGCCCAGGCTCCCCAGCTAGATCTGCTTCCTTGGGCTTTTGCAACTCCCATAGAGTCTAGGTGTCCTAGCTCTTCTGAGAGGGGTCAGAAGATTTGTGACTGCCCCCACACAGAGGCTCCCTACAGGCCTTGGTGGCTAATGACCTTGGATCAACTTCTGTTTAACCCCCCCTTCAGCCATCTGAGCCCACGCAGGGGAGGAGGTAACCTTTCAGAGGCCCAACTGGTCCCTATGGGAGTATGCCTACCTCCTCCCTGTGTTGGATATAGCCAGCCAGAGAGTGGCACTTAGGAGTATCATAAGTCAGTTTCCTTCATCTCAGGAGTGACAAAAATGCCAACCTCATTGGAATGTCTCCTACCTCCACCCCAACCCTGTACCCCAAGAAGCCCACCTACCTCTGAGCTCATCTGAAATGCTCAGCTGATGGGCCTGGGGCATCATTTTGGCAATGCTTTCATTTCCTGTGTATATAAGTGGAGGCCAGGATGGAGAGGGACTGGCCTGGGGTCCCTCATTGGGCCAGCTCCCTCCCATGACTGGGCCCCCATGCCTCTCCACTTTTTCCTTTTGACTCCGAATCCAACCCACACCCCTGGGGACTTCTGTAGGGAATGCCAATGCAGGCGGCTTGGGATTTAGGAAGCAGGTTGCTGTTCTTCTGCTACCCTCATCCCCACCCACACCTGTGTTCTGTCCCTTATCTCCCCACAGGTACATCCGCACCATGTACCTGGGGATTCAGAGCCAGCGGCAGAAGGAACACCAGCGACGCTTCTACTGGGCTATGATGTACGAATATGCAGATGTCAACATGCTGCGCCTCCTGGAGACCTTTCTGGAGAGCGCCCCCCAACTGGTGCTACAGCTCTGCATAATGATCCAGAAGAACAGCCCAGAGCAGCTGCCCTGTGAGTGCCTGCCTGCCCCTCCCCCAGCATCACCCGCCCACCCCCTGCGCCGGCCACGCCCCCAACACTGCCCCCTGAGCGCGCCAACCACTCCCCCAGCGTCACCTCTATCCTCCGCATCCCCGCATCCCGCACTCCCGCTGCAACTGCCTCATTTGCCTACTTGGCCTAGGGGTCCTGACTCTGATTTCCGATGTCCAGACACAGCCCCCTCGGCAGATACCAGGGACGTAAGTGTTTCCTCAACACTCCTGCTCCAGAGATACTTGGTTCCTAAAGAGCAGTTCCATGTGCTTCTGGACAGCAGAGCCAGCCTGCCCCCTGCAGTTCAGGGTCCTGGAGATCTGATCAGATGTGAGGCCCCTCTGGGTTTGCATTGCCCTGAGCCCTGGTATTTCCACATGTGTGGAATGGGCCTAACCAGGCCTAAAGACAGCATATGCCAGTAGCACTGAGTCATGGCAGGTCTTACTTCTGGATTTGGACATTTTAAACTTCAGGAGCTTGCTTCCAATGCATGTACTTGGCTCAGTTCACTTGTAGCAACAGGCTGAAGTGGTATGTGCTCCAATGAGCACACACAAAGGGACCCCTTGCTCTCGGCTGTGGCCTCAGGTAGTCTCCATGGGGCCTCAGAAGCCAAAGAGCATTGTCCAGACATGCAGACTCCACAGTAGGAAGGCTCTGGGATGTTAGGGATGCCAAGGTTAGACTGCACTGCTCTTATTTATAGCTGATGGCTAGCCTAGCCTGCAGTGCTGCGGAGAGCATGCCCGGGAGTCAGGGATGCACCAAAACAGATTCTTGGTTGAGAAGGTACCTGAGGTGGCACATGGAGAGAGAAATGGGGTATTTAACAGGGGATGGGGGTGGATGGGAACCTTGGGATGTGTGAATCCTAACATCTGAAGGGACATGGAAGAAGAAATGTCACAAATACCAGTGCATACTTCTGGGGAATGGTTGCACTATCAATGGATGAGAAATGGGAAACATTCCACCCATCCATGGAAAGACTGCCTTTAGAGGTATAAGTGCCTCATTGATAGGTTCAGAGACACTACTGAAAGGAACCAGATCCAAAGGTCCTAGCTGCTGAGGCTTGGAGGAGTATCCATGGTGTGGGGTAGCAGGACAGCTAGGGGAGCTGGCCCACTCTACTTGCCTTGGCTCTCTCTGGCCAGTAGGACTCTGGTCTCCTGGACTGTCACGATACCTCTAGACCCAGCAGTCCATACGCTGTGTCTTGTCATTTGCCTGTTTTTACTATAGGTCCACTGGCTGATGGACTCAAAGCTTGTCACACGAGCTCCTTGGCCCACTGGCCCCGACTGGTTGGTTATGGATTAGCACCTCCTCCCCCCCCCCCCTCTCTCTCTCTCTCTCTCTCTCTCTCTCTCTCTCCCTCCCTGCCATAAATCCTGGAGGTATTTAGAGGCATGTTAAGGCTGTTACCCTCTCCTTGCTGGTTCGGGTTCCTGCCATCTTGGCAGGCATTCTGGGTTAGAGTGGGTTTGGAAAGCAGCCTGGGCTACTGGGAAAGGCAGAGAGCTGCATACAACTTGAGCTCAGCCATGCAGACTTAGGGTGTGGGACGATTCATTTGCTAGCTGTGTTTCTTTATCAATAAGTTAGGAATAAGAATTGCTTTGGGGTATTGTGAAAGTGTGTTGAGCTGCACATATACCTCCACAGCACATAGCCTGGCATTAGAGACTGGCATGATTCTGGAAGAACTCTGTCATGTGTGAACACATTGCTGAGGCCTGAACTAACTGTGGGGCTTGAGGGAGCCCATTAGAGGCAGGGGTCAGAGAGAGCTTCTACTGAAGGCTCTTATTTAGGCTGGATGTCAACAACAAGGAGAAAGGCAAAGTAATGGCCTTCCATGCTTTGGGAATAGCATGTCCAAAGGTCCTGAGGTAGGAAAAACACTTCCTCTGTGGAAGACCATGGCAGTGATGACCTGAGAGTGAAAACACTCAGCATGGCTAGAACTTGGCAGTGGAACAGGGGAGTGGAGTGGAAGTCAGGGTCCAGAAGAAGAGCCTAATGGGCCCCATAGAAATTCACAGACATTATGTGCCAGAAGCCGTGATTTCTGCAACTATGTAGTTGAGCATTTCCATGTAGAGACAAAAAGAGAACCATCCTAGGAATCCCACCAATTAGTGAGAAGTTGGCTGTTGCACGCATCCAGTGTGGTACAAATCCCTGGGGTCTGAGCTGTGTGTGCCTTTCCACTCTCTCAGTCAGCTAGTGGGAAAGAGTAGAAGTCCCTGGACAGGGTAGGTGCTTGAAATGGGGTTGGAACCTGACGGTAGAATGACCCGACCCCAGAATGGGACTAGATGGCATACCATGGACCAGTTGTGCTCAGGGAGCAACTCAGAGGCATGCTTCTTCCCTAGAATCTCCCGAGACAACCCAGGCTCACAGCTTCTGTTTACTTTGTGTTTGTTGAGACAGGGTCTCTCTGTGAAGCACTGGCTGACCTGAAACTCACTAGGTAGACCAGTCTGACCTTGAGCTTGCTGTCATCCTCCTGTTTCTACTCTGCCTCAGTACTGGGATAACAAGCATGTGACAGTATGCCCAGTAGACTTTGCTCTCTTAAGTGATATGCTGTAACACTTTGCAGGAGTGTTGGGATGCTGCATAGAGGTGGGAGATGCCAGCCACTGGGTCCAGTCCTCTTGTTACATACACAGAGGATGAAGCACAGAAAAAAAAAAAAAGCTGTCCAAGGTCACACAGCAACGAGCATGCAAACAAAGGACTTTTATGCTTCTTGCTGCCCTAAGACAACTGTCATGGCATGTAGGGCTCCTCCACACACCATGCCTTGCCCAAGGAGTTACCACCTTCACCTCCCCATTTCACAGATTGTGGCAGGATAGTGGTTCAGCAGATAAAGGCTCTTGATGTGCAAGCCTGGTGACCTGAGTTCAATCCCTGAGACCCACCTAAAAAGACTCCACATGTTGTCCTTTGTTCTACGTAAGTGTGCTGTGACAAGCATGCACCTCCCCACCTCCCACACACACAAGTAAATAAAGACAAGTAACTCCAGACCAATGTATAACAGAATGAGTCAAGAAAGATAAAAAGAGTCCAAGAAATATGAAACACACCAAAGCATTGATTTTCCTTTAAGCAAGCTTTTGGTCTCAGATACAACTCAAAATCATTCTATCTCAACTGTCTAAGGTCCCTGCTAGTTTCTTCTAGTCTCCTTCAGTTGTGGGCTCTGCTCACATCAAACCCTGGGAAGATGGCTCAGTGGGTGAGAGGACTTGCTGTGCAGGCATGAGGACCCGAACTCCATCTCTGGTACTCAGGTGGAAAGCTGGGCATGGCCACCTGTGCCTGTAACATTGGTGCCATGGGGGTGGAGACAAGAAGATGACTGAGCTTACTGGCCTCCAGCTTAGCTCCAGGTTCAATGAGAGACTGTCTCAAGTGAATGAAAGGGACAGTGATGGAGCAGGACATCCAATGTCCTCCTCTGGTCTCTGTGAGCACACAGACACATCACACATGTATGAACACTGTAGAAACTTGAACCTTAGCTCCTCCTTGGCTTAACATAGAGCCAGAGCGCTGCTAACATCTGAACCACTAGGAAGGCAAGTGCCTATCCTGTTCCACTGTCATGTGAAGCTAAAATGCCCAGCCTTTCTCTCCAGCCTTCAGCCCAATGAGTGAGCCTTTCTTCCTCTCCTGGGGTCAAAGAGTGCCACACAAGAAAACTCAGTTTCCCTTTTGTCTCCTAGCCAAACTTCTCCTCAGCAGAGGTTGAAGCTCCCTTGTGCTGGTCTAAAGTTGGAGAAAGGCTGGGACCTGGCTCCTGGCTACTGCATCTATGTAACACTTCATTCCTTTCCCCCTGGAGTTCTTTCTTCCTGTGTAAGAAATGCTTTGCAGACTCTTTCTAGTCTGGCTCGTATAGACATTGGCTCAGATACTTTTTAAGTCCAGAACAAAACAACAACAGCAACAAAAAAAAAACATGGTGCTAATTCATGGTGGGGGTCATCTTATTTATTTATGGATTTGTTGTTTATTATTAATTCAATTTTTCATTTATTTTACATCATGATTGAGGTTTCCCTCCCTCTTCCCCTTCCATTCCTCCCCCTGCCTCCCCTCCCCCATCTACTCCTCTGTTTCTGTTGAGAAAGGGGAAGGCCTCCCATGGATGTCAACAAAGCATGGCATATTATGTTGAGGTATAACTAAGCTCCTCCCTTTGTATTAAGGCTTGGCAAGGCAAGCCAGTATGAGGAATAGGTTCCCAAAGGCCACCTCAAGCATTAGGGATCCTGATCCCACTGCTGGGAGTCTCACAAATAGGCCAAGCTGTACAACTGTTACACGTATGTAGAGGGCCTAGGTCAGTCTCATGCAGGCTCCCTGGCTGTTCATCCAGTGTCTGTAAGCAACTATGATCACAGGTTAGTTGTTCCTGTGGGTCCCCCTGTGATAACCTTGACCACCCCCCAGCTTGTGCAATCTTTCCTCCGTCTCTTCAGTATGATTTTCAGAGGTCAGCTCAGTGCTTGGCTGTGGATCTCTGTTTCCATCAGTTACTGGTGGAAGGCTCTCTGAAGACAATTAGTGTAGTCATCAATCTGATTACAGGGGAAGGCCAGTTCAGGCTACCTATCCACTATTGCTAGGAGTCTTAGCTGAGGTCATCCTTGTGGATTCCTTGGAACTTCCCTGGTACCCCTTCAAGACATCTCTTTGATTACTCAGTGGGGGTCTTCTTATGATATCATATTACAACACAGGATAGCTTGGGTCTCTCTTCCTATAAATCTACTCACACTATCATGGGGGCTCCAGCCTCATTACCTCATCTAACCCCAATGACCCCCCCAAAAGTATCTGCTTCTAAATGCTATTAATATATACATTTGAAGATTATGAAATTTCCAAAGACACATTCAAACAAACCATTTGCCCATCCCCCTTGGTTAACATAAAGCAAAGCT